TGAGATTTTTGTGGATTTTCTAAGATTTGGGCGGAGCTTTGAGTACTTGGTATGACATTTGGATGGAATTTTGAGAAATATTGTGAAACCCCTCCGGTTGAGATAACCAATTAATACGGCCATCATCGGGGTGTTTGGGTCATTCTCACTTTATGGATTGAACCTTGTCAACTCTATCGGCTGTCGACAGAGGATCGGGTTTCGTAGGCTTTATGCCCTTTGATAGTGAATTCTCATTATCGTAGGCCTTAAAAGCCTAATGTGAATGTTTAAGAAACATATATCGTCGTAGCAATCGTATATTTGTTTGAGAGTTCGAACCTGTCTGACTCCTATTGACCCGTATAGGAGGATCGGGTTCGAACTAGAATTCACTTGTCAACCCCGGCAGCATCCCTAGACGTCACGTGTGCACAATAACACCTTGCCGGGGCCCATGCGGGTATTATAATTGTTTTTACCCTTTTAGTGTACCTATGTGTATACAATTATAGTGTACGTGCAGGGGTATTCTTGAATAGACGCCTTCTGTCTGCTTGTCGAATGTTGCAGATCCGGGCGTAGCAGCTTCTGGATAGAATTATTCGCTGCTTCGTACAGGTAGACTGTCGTGCACTATTTGTTGATTTCTGTAGGCGGATCATAGTGCACTAACTAATCTCCTGCCTTATTGTAGATGCTTGCATCCATTGTTTCTTTGTGTGTTGATTAGAGGAATCTCCTATATTTGCTTGCAGTCGACTGATATTGATTGTGGAAGGATTGTGTCATTTTGAACTTTGATGGTTGATTGTTAATGATGGACGAGCCATGCTGAACATCGTAAATCTCCCACTGCCATATGAGGATAGCTCAAATGTTGTGTAGGAAACTTGTTCATTCCAATCAATATGACAACATATTGATATCTTAATGAAATTTCATATTTTGATTGCAATCATATCATTGTGTTTTCCAATCACTTTTGCTTGTGAATAATTGCATTCATTGTGTATATGTATTCACCTTGCAGACATAGATAATTTGATCTGGTTCAATAGATGATTTAAAGTCTTATAGTATCACTGGCGATCACATCACAACAATATTTGAGTAGAACTTTAAATCAATCATTGACAACCATATTATACTTTCTGTCACTCGCCCTTATCATTCGTATGTGATACATGTTAACTTTCTCACTCACATTCATTGTGTCTCACTAAAATCATCAGCTTCAATAATCACCAAGGTTAATGTGATCATTTACAAATCTATTCTGATTTCGTCATTCATGAATGAGAAGTTAGTGAGTTCTTCCTGTGTTTGATTCTTCTGCAAACTCCTTAACTTCAAAGAAGGTCTAATGCATCTTCCATTTGATCATAAGAAAAGTTATATCCATTAAGAACTTATATCATTATTTTAAAGATTGATACTTGTGACTTGGAGATGATTATACACCCATTGAGTTGAAGTTTGAACTTGGATCCACAAGCTTATCACCAATTTATGTCCTTTGCAAATTTGTACAGTTCAAGTCCATGTCTACTGATGTAGGAATCGAGTTCAAATTTGAGTTTAAACCTTGCTCTTTTGATGTTCAAATTGGTATTCAAAATAAGTTCATAAGTCCTATATTTTAAGTTCATTTGTAGTTATAATGTGCCACTTGCAAGTCCAAGTCTCAAATGTTTGCAAGTTTAATCCAAGTTTTATTCTTGTCCATAATGCTTGATTCCAAGTATGTCCAAACATACAAGTCTTCCTCATTTGATTCAAATTTAAGTTCAAATGTATGTCCACAAGTCTTCTGAGTTAAATCAAGTTCTTGCTTGAGTTCAAGCCCAAGCTCATGTTCAAGTTTAAATCTTATGTCACTTTTATAGAATTCAAGTCCCAAATAAAGGTCCTCAATGGTCTTGTAGAGTCCAAGTTCATTGTCCACTGTAGTTCGAGCCATTCTTTGTTTCGTTTGCATTTTGAAGTTATTATGGATTGTTTGAGTTTGAATTAAGTCCATTTAATGCTTCAATCAATGTCCAAGTAAAGCTCCACATAGTCTCAAGCACAATCTTGCATTTACCCGAAATTTCGGCAGCCTTCCGGCGTCTCCCCCGTTTATGGAAAACTACGAAAACTGGGCCTCCGCCACGCTAGAGAAAAGCGTGCACGGTAGGTGCCCTCAAAGAGGACACCGCGGCCGTAATATTTTTATTCCCACCACGCCAGAGAAAGGCGTGCATGGGTTGCGGGCACCGGTTTAAATTAGCAATTTTTATTTACCCCGTCTCATTGTGGGCGTCGCACCGGGTTCCTTCCCCACGCTAGAGAAAAGCGTGCATGAGTTGGTTTCCCGGTCCGCCGCTAACACCGAAAATAGGGTTTTGATTACCCGTCCCGTCGCAAGCATCGCAACGAATTCCTTCTCACACGCTAGAGAAAAGCGTGCATGAGTTGGTCGTTGCCGCGTTGCAAGCGCCGGGATTGGTTCTCGGAGTTTAGAGTTTAGGAGCTTATACCTTTGCAAGTGTCTGGGGTTGGCACCGGATCGAGGAGTCCTCGCCTACCTCGTCGTAGGTGTCGCGCCGGTTGCCCCTCCCACCACGCTAGAGAAAGCGTGCATGGGCAGACCACCGACTCGACACGCAGGTCGAGTAAGAGAGAGACTAAGTTCCGAAAAATTATACCTTTAGCGGCCAGCGGATCGCGGCGGCTTGCGATCGAGGCAAGAGAGACATTTTTGCAATTAATGATAATTAATCATTTAAGTTATAAATAATCCATTAATATTATTTAATTATAATATGTTATTTAATTATAATAATTAAATTAAAAATAATTAAACAATTAATTAAAATTAATAATATTTAACTATTTAATTATAATTAACCTATTAATTATAATTAGTTATGCCTAATTATAATTAATAATATTAATTAACAATTAATATAATAAGAGTTAAACATAATTAATAGTAATTAATAATATTCAATTATAATTAATCATAATTAGTATAATTAATAATTAATTATAGTTAAAAAAATAATTATTAGATTAATTATAATTAATATCAATTAATTAATATAATTAATAAAAACTAATCTCTCCCTCTCTACTCTCTCTGTCGATGATTTAGGGGATTCGCCGAAGATGCGTGCATAAGGGAGAGAGTTACCTTCATAGCAAAAGAGCTCCTGTGGTTGCCTTGATCAATGCCGCAACTTCCAATCCGACAGGGAGAGAACGTCGGAGGAGGCAAAGCCAGCGGCAAGTAGAGAGGTAGGGTTCGGTGCCTCCTCTCTCTCTCTCTCTCTCTCTCTCTCTCTCTCACGGGATTCGCCGAAATCGCGTTGCGAACAGGGCAGGGACGGGAGGAGCAAGGGGTTTGGCCTGGTCTCGATCGGAGGAAGGAGGGGTTTGGTTCGGTCTCTGTGGAGATCGGGATGGGGTCGATCGATTGGAGCGGAGGCTTCGGTGGATTTGCGGCTACGGGAGGCGACGAGTAGAGCTCGGTCGGGGGCCTTGATCGGCTTCGACAGCGGGGGAAGAAGTCGTCGGGAGTGGGAGAGGAGTTACGGGAGGAAGGGCGACGGGGTTCGGTCGAGTGGAAGCAGCGTTGAGCAGAGGAGGCTTCGACTCCTATTTAACGACGCGAAGATGGTACGATTCAACAGAACTTCTGCAGGAATCGCGGAGAAGCGATGCTAGCGGCGCCGATTCAGCAGGATTCGCGGATGTCTTCGACCGATACGAGGTAGGTAGCGGGATTTCGGGGATCCTGACAGAGCCACGGTATGATTTCAATTTTATTTCCTGTGGGTATTATACAGAGGTTAACACCTTATATATTGCAGTGCTTCATGGTTGAAATCATGAAAAAAGAAGCTCCAACCCTAAATTTAACGTTTGGATCGGGTCGGGCTGCAAGACAAATGAATATCCACGTCGGAACCTTACACGTAGGCAATTCACACGTAATAATTTCATTGGCATCCGAACACAAAGCTACGTCTGGCTCAACACAAAATAATTTCTCCTAAAACTCTTTTTTTTTTTTGCTTTTTTTTTGTAAAGATTTGAGGGCTTGCCTATTTTATAAAAGAGAAAATGGTGTACATGTATAAACCAAAAATTAGCCATCAACAAAAATAGAGGCTATGACAAAAAGAAAAAAATAAAAAATAATAACCCAAAATACACCATGAAGTAATAAGAAAATCGACAGATCTGTTTAGCCTGGACTCAGAGAATGCAGCAAGTGTCATTGAGGAATCCAAGTCTCCCTTGGTTGCCCAAAGACCATCCAAAGGGAGGGAAGGCAGACTACATCATCGTCCAAGGCTCAAAAAGAGCCTGCCTGGCTAAAACGGATTAAGAAGACATGAAGGCAACACAGAAAGGCAACATATGAAGCAACCCGAGAGGCAACCAAGAGGAGGGGCATTCAGCAACTTAAAGCCTATCTACAAGAAAGACAGAAGCAGCCCATAACAGAGGAAAGGCCGAAAAGGTTCAACACCACCAAAAGAATAGCGATACCCAAAAGTTCAATAGCTATTACAAAGCAATCCAGTACTTGGCCTCAAACAAGACATAGGAGGCCAAAAATAGCAGCCCCAGTAAACATTCCGTCAAAGATCGACAACAGAGAAAAGACCGAATAAAATCCCACAAGCAAACAAGGTCCCAAAACCTCCCGCAGGTAGACCCGAAACATCGAAAGATGCACCAAAAGAATGAAATCAAGTATATCTTAGATTCAGATAATGTTTTATAAACTCTCCATTTTTCCATCTACCAAATTTCAGAAAAATCACTCTAGAAATCTTTTTCAATAAGGTTACACAAGCAACTTTGGAGTTGAACTCCGGTTGTTCCGTTCAATCCAAATGAAATAAACAATAGCATTAAGAGTAAGCAGGATATCATATTTGAGAGTATCAATAACGGTAAGGCCCCAATATGATCAAGAACTTGCATAATAGAGGCCTTGAGGTAAAAGTTTGAAAAGGAAAGAATTAACACTGAAAGGAGTAATCGCATTCAAACAACAGGTGGGAGATGGTTTGAGAGCAGCTCTGACATAGTACATGATTGTAGTAGGTCCGAATGTCTCACATTGAAACCTTAAGAAAAACTTTGCCCACGATTGATATATGGCCAAATACACTTGACCGAAATATTATTGCCTTTCAAACAGAGCACACTCGATTTAGGTACATTCTCAGAAGTACAATTTTTGGCTGCAGTACCGAACAAAAACATTCCAAGTCTTACAGCAATGTCACTTCTATGAGGAGAGAATGGTATCATGAATTATTCATTGATGATGCAAACTTAATCGATAACTTACTAATTTCAGGTTCACTTAAACTTCAGTCACTTTGCTGACCAACGGCCTATTTGAGAAAAAAGCCTCCAGGTTGTCAACGATAAGTTGAAAGAGGTCAGCAAATGACTCCTGCGTGTAAACAGCACAATGAGGGGATAGCACAACTTTATCCATGGTGAAAAGCTCCCTTGGCACAGCTGGTTCATTGTCAAAGACATCTAGGCCAGCACCGCCGATCTCTCCCTGCATCAACCTCCTGACCAGTTCTTTTTCATCAACAAGGGCCCCTCTGCCAACGTTTATTATGATCCCCTGCTTCCCAAGTCCATCCATGACATCCTTGTCAATTATGTGATATGTATCGCTGTTGAGAGCACAGCAGACAATGAGAACATCATTCTGAGCTGCAAGAGTCCTTGCATTTGGGTAGAATGTGTAGGAGAAGGATGGCTTCTGTTTTCTGGAGTAATAGGAGATTATGCAGCCAAATGCATCGAGTCTTTTAGCAACCTCTGATCCAATGTGCCCGAGACCAACAATCCCAACTCGCTTGCCTCCTATCTAAAGCAGAAGGAAAATAAAATACTGAGGGAAGCAGTTATTGAAACATTGGTTGATTAGAACAAACGGCAAGTCAAAAAAGGATTGAAATATTTTTCCAAGTTATAATAATGTTTGAGAGAAAATCATTTTGTGGGTACAAAAAAACGAAATAACAAACAACTAATTTTTTCTTCTAAATGGCAACTATTTCAAGTACAATCCTAAATATGTTCAGCTTCAAAGCAACGGTCAAAATTTATGTCAAGTTAGAAAATTTTAGACAGATGCTCAACTTGATTTTTTAAACTATTGCATTTGAAAACATTGTTTCCATTATTTTATTTTAATTTTGAAAGTCTGTTTCCGACTGGATCTGTAAGTATCTAGCAGCTAACATAGAAGTCAAAAGTGATGCTAGGCGTCCTCCACATGCAGCACAGAAATAAATTAAATAGTATATTGAAATCTATTCCATATAAAATCAAGAAGGTTAAACATGTTTGTGTGTTTGAAAGCTTCCAAATGTTTAAGTCATAACAAGAAGGTAAACATACTTCTAAGAAGTTAAATTTCGATGTTTGCATGATGCAACACTTGATCAACAAAAGAGCACAAAACACATTGTTATAAATGCTGGCATAATAATAGAAGTTTTAATAGAAAAAAAATATATTTTCAATATTATACTAGACTAGAAAAGCATGTGACAGGTGTCTACTACCTCCAATGTACCGATAGCTACAGATGTTTACCAGTCATCCAAGATTTATGAGAATAATGAGCCTCATGAAACATAAGAAGATTGAGCTTTGGTATCCATTGTGATGATCACTGAGCATGAAAATGCATAAAAGTGTCATAGTAACATAATTAAAAAAACATATAAAAAGTTTTAAGCACTGGGATCTGATTGAGTAGGAGGATCCATGCCGATAATGATTGGACACCAGGATCCATGATAATGAGCAGATATTAAATTGTACCAATCCGATCTTGATTGTGGAGGATAGCCACAAGATTCCTGTGAATGGAGCTAATCGATCGAACAGACCAAATAAGCCAAAGAAAGCACAATCGACTAAAGGAGGTAGCAACAACTATTGTGGTTGTCTTGCCACTACTAAGAAGGCCGAACGACAGGAATGGTTAAGTGAATACTGCGGCCTAGTCTACCAATAGCAACAAAGCTACACAAGCAGATGCTAATGTTGAAGGAGTTGACCTGTTATAATTAACGGATACAACAACAAACATATTTGCAGATCAGAAAACTAGTCTAAGGCAGAGGCCATCCATAATGTAGATTCAGCAGGGGAAGCAAAAGAGAACAACCATGAAGCAAGAGCGCAGTGAAGATTGGGGGAGAGCCAAGATACATATGGGGAAGGACGATGTTTTTCGCAAATGGTATCCAATTTCCCATGAAATTAAATATTTCTTTAATTCACAGCTGTCTCCATATATCTCAGATTTTCAAGTGATTCTATAAACACCTTGTGGATATACCTTGATTTTGATTCCATATGATAACAAATGGCATTTGGTACGATGGTTGAGATAGTTCGAAAGCTTAACAAGTGCAAGTATCTGATCCTTCATGCATATTATCTCCTTGTCTAAAAAGGCAACAAAGTTTACCAGAACTCACGATGAAGATGATCCACTATCAAATTTTGGAGGAGATTACATATCGGTTCAGTCGGAGGTGTAAAATTCTTAGAGTATTGTGGCAGGACTACTAGTACAGGGGTACGAATGGTTTACAACAATGATTTCGCTGCCAACTGTGGGATGACACAAAAGAGGCACAAAGAGAATGCCTTTACAGTGTTGCTGAAAACAACACAGCTTTGTAGGAATTATAGATACCCAGTGACTTAGTTGAAGGCATGTACTTAGCAAGTATGGCTAACTTACAATTCGCCTTACATAGCTGATCTATCATAAATAATGTCAAATTTGAAATCCTAGCATTGAACATGTAGAAGTTGATGGTGGCTTGTGTGCACCATGATAGCCTATTTAGACTTTAACTATGGCATTTGCATTCAAGATCCTAGAACCGTCTGGTCAGAGCTTGGAATATTTTAAATGTAGAAGCGATCACAAATGCACAAATCCCATATTTAAGCCGGACATGATATTGCAACTCAAAATTAATAAGTTCTTATTGTCGGCAATTAGACATCAAATGGAGTTGAAGCCTAGAAAGATAATTGGCCGCATCGAGGCCAAGATCAATATCAGTGTTGTACATGAAGGCATGAGATGCTAACTGGAAGGCAATCAAAGCTGTCTTTGATAGCTAGGAGTCATACAAGACAGTGAGCTTGTTCATGGAAGTTATTAACTTTGTTATGCCAAGAATAGTTTATAGGATTCAATTCTCCAGCACACAAGTTCCATAGGATATTTTGGTCTTTCAAACCTTCAATTATTGGTTGAAGATACTGCAAACCGATGCAAAGCCTTGACGAAACCTTTCATCAAGGTAAACTCAAGGGAACGTTACTGACAGCAGTTGAGATGAACACTAACAATGATTTATTTCCTTTAGCTTTTTTCAATGTTGAGTCCAAGTGCAATGTGTACACCCATGATGCTTGTGCAGCACCTTCTCGCAGGTATCATAAAGGTTACATTTAGGTCGCGGAAGGAGATTGCGCTCTTCTTCTGGGATAGTCCGTTAGAGGGACTCGCTCAGGAGTAGGGGTGTCAATTCGAGTCAGCGAGTCGGGTTCGGGTCGAATCCGAATTGACCCGGCTTTAAACAGGTCAACCCGAGCCCGACCAATTTTTGTAAACGAGTCGGCTTTTTCAACCCGGACCCGACCCGCGCGGGTTGCCGGGTTGACACGACCCGACCCGGATTTTTTAAATACTCCCGGCGGCACAGCGGCAGCGGCAGCACGCGTCACATGCGGAGCAGCGGCAGCATGCGTCACCGCTTCGGGTTCGGGATGCGCAGCGGAGTATGGACACACGCGCGCGGCGCACACTTTGAGCTTTCGACGCTTCACCGCGACGCTTCGGCCTTTGGGACGTGACTCGAGTCACTTGACGCTTCAGACTTCGGGCGGCACCGAGCAAATAGCACGCGAACTCGGGTTCAACCGGGCAGCAGACGCGGGCAGAGGGTTTTCGGGCATTTTCAGGTTGTCGGGCCAACCCGAACCCGACCCATTTTTTAAAATGGGTCGTTAAACCCGAACTCGACCCGTTTCACAAACGGGTCGACCCGAACGGGTCCGGGTCGGGTTTCGGGTCGTGTCAAAAATTGACACCCCTACTCAGGAGCTGGGAAAGAGCTTATCACTGGATCACAATGAACCACCTTCGGCCACAACCTCCAAGCAATCGCCATCCTCGGCAGGGGCGACCACAGGAGTATCTCTCTCAATTGGTCAGGTCTTTATGCATCTTGGCCAAAGTCAAACTCTATATGTGATACGCATAAAAAATCAAGCTAAAGTCACACATCTTGTTCGCAAGACATCCTTCATAATCGGATCGCCACCAAGCTCAGAGATCTACATAAACTCACTAGTCGCCCTCTCTCTCCAGCTAGGAAACATCAAACCAACTTCCTACTTAACACCGACTCGATCTCCAAATTCAAACGGAATCACTTTATTATTATCCTCTCCCACAAGGTCGCCTCACCACTTGGCATAGCTGGTAGGGCTCGATCAAAAGCTGATAGTACAACTCCTATACTTTGTACATATTCTAATATAATTCTTCAAACTAAAAGTTCGTTAGGGATGTTAAGCCCTTATGAACTTAGTCCCAAGCTAACCAAGAGGGGGGGTGAATTGGTATTTTAAAATTTATTTTCACAAAAAATAAAAATTGCATAAACCAAAATCACACCACAAAAATAAATGCGGAATTAAAAGTGTGGAAGCAAAAATAAGAACATAGAAATTTATAGTGGTTCGGTCAAATCGACTTACATAAATAATATATTCCATAATTTTAAAGTTAGATATAAATGATTATTAATTTATATTATATATTTCAGTAAAAATAAATAATAACTTTAAATTTAAATGTAAATATCTCCAATCTTAATTATTAAGTTATATTATATATTTAAATATAAATAAATATTAATTTTAAATTTAAATGTAAATATCTATAATCATTCTCATCCTATTTCCCTCTACCTTCATCATCCTCACCTACAGGCAAGGCTATAAAAACTGGATCGAAGATAGTAACAGAAGAGAGAGAGAGAGAGAAGGTTCTCAACCAGCCCCAACACCCTACGCTCCAACCCCCACTCCGCCGAGGTCGAATTAGTAACCCACTGGCTAAATAAATATAAACTATTAAGATGATATGTAAAATATAATAGTAATTTGTAATCAATGTTGATCAATTTTAGAGACTAAAAAATAAATTAAAATTATACCCCACACCATCACACCACCACTCATACACACCCCCACACACATCAACTATACAAGTCATACCATCTAACAACACCTCATCATCAAATTTGTACATACATATTAATATAAGATAATATAAAATTTTAGATTTAAATGTCAATAAATACACATACAATACTCACGACCTCATATATCACATACACAACAAATTAATTTATATATACATCAATATAAACAAATAATATATAATATATATATATACTATTTAATAGTATATATATAAATATATATATATAATATATTATATATATATAATCACATTGTAAAATTATATTTTTAAAGTCATACAACATTATTTATTTAAAATTTCATTTTTCTTATTCTCATTAATTCATATTTAGAGAGAAGTTAGGTAAAAGAAGTTTATTAATATATTAAAATTAAAATATAGAAAATAGATTTTAAAATTTTTTAAATTTATTTTAAGATAATTATAATATACAAATAATTATAAATTTAAGAATTTAAAAAATTCTTATATTCATTTTTTTATTTGAATATTCTATACAAATTTTTTTTCAAGAAAATTCTCAAGAAAACAATCGAGCACGCCATGTTGTA